TCCAATCTCTAGTACAACTTTTAAAGACAAATCTTCTTTTTTCTCCATAATAGCTAAGAAACATAATGTTCTTGATTTTTCATCTACTACTTCAACTTCAACTGCAAATCCACATATCACACCTGCTGAATTAGAAAGATATTATCAATTTGATCATTATAGTTTAATACCCGAAAATGAAGTGGATACGTTAGATATTTTACGATAGTGGAAATTAAATGAGCGGTCTGTATTATCTAAAATGACACGAGATATACTAACAGTTCCAGTCTCAATAGTGGCATCCGAGTCTGCTTTTAGTGCATGTAACAGGGTATTGGACGAACGAACATTTAGACTTAAAGAAGATATTTTGGAAGCTCTCATATGCGTGAAAGATTGGATATTCGCGGATCGAAGGATGCAAGATAAAATTAATGATGATGTTGCTGAAAATTTCAAAAATCTTGCGGTTCATGAAAATTGATCGAGAAACAAATATATAATTTGAATTCTNTTCACGTAATTAGAAATGCATTTAGTTGTTAAATTTCAATTATTAAATTTGAATTTTATGTAAACATTTTTTGGTATAAATATGAATTTATCATTTTATTCAATTCTTAGTTTACATTTAACAAAAAAAAAAAAAATTTGCTATCAACATAAAAAATTCTTGGAACAACCCGCGACCCGTGACTCGTGAACCGCGACCTGTATGGGCTCGACCCGGATGAGTCAGCAGGCGGGCTTGGATAGTAGTCCAAAATTTGTGGACCGACCTGGAACCGGTCCGGAACCCGTAGCGTACGGGCTTTTTTTTCACTCGGGGTAATGTTGACGGGTTGACCCGGCCCACCCGAATTGACACATCTAGTTGTCTGTACAACATCTTATGTAGGGGTTCGTTGAATTGGTGTTTGCAAAATAACATTTTTATAATTTTGGTGAGAAGCCAACGTCCAAATGCACCAAATGGAATTTTTTCCAATGATTGACAAATGGCTAACATCCAACAACTAGCGGACAACAAATAAAATTTGTCCTCGTACAACTGTCCCATATCTTTGCTCCCATCTTCAACCTAACAAATACATATATGCATATACGGATAGAGAGATCGTGGGTATTTTTTTTTTTAATTGGAAAAGCTCAATGCTATGAGAACAAGAAGCCAAATTTCTCTAAGCTTTATTCTTGATTTGATGAGCAGGGAATTGATTGGATATTGGATATAATAATTGGGTGTTGCATGTCTCTGTAAATGGATAGCTTTAGAAAAGCCTATGGGGCGCTCAAAGACTCCACCACTGTTGGCCTAGCCAAGGTCAATAGCGAATTCAAGGTGAATACATGAATCAAACACATTGATTGCATATATATATATATATATACACGTGTACCCAGATGGGTTTTTTTTTTTTAATTTCTTGAACAAGATTTTGGGCTTCATCTGCTGCATTTCTTGATGGGATTTTAATTTCATGGCCTAAATGTGTTAAGGATTTGGATATTGCAATTGTCAAGGCCACCAACCATGTCGAATGTCCCCCGAAAGAAAGGCATGTTAGAAGTGAGTTATATCATATATGATTGATAATATAATGTCAATTCTAGAGGCTTTCTGCTTTTTATATGTAAAAGTTTATCCTACATTCATTTCTTGTTGAGTATTTGTATATTCAATTTTCTCATTGCTTTGAAGTTTTCACCATTTAATCTTCTATTTCTTCTCAGAAATTTTTGCTGTGACATCTGTATCTTGCCCGAGAGCTGATGTTGCATATTGCATCCATGCACTGTCTAGAAGACTGGCAAAGACGCACAGTTGGATTGTAATTTTTCTCCTCATTTCTGATTTTGTGTGTAATTTTGATGGCTTTGTGTTGTCCCATGCCAAAAGGGATTTGTTAGCCATCTCCTTTGATGGCTTTGTTTTATATATTGGAAGCTTTGTATTCTTATACATCGAATGCGTATTATTTAGGCATCCCCTATGGGCTTGCTTCGTTACATAGGAACCCCGTTTGTGGTTCGTGAGATAGTACCTTTTGGGCGATGTTTCCCTATCTCTTTCTTTTCTTTTTCCCCCAAAAGAGTATTTGGCTGCTTATGTTGAGTATATATATTTGTACAGAGACTTTTATTTCAGCCTTGTGTATGTTAACATATGATTAATAATTCAGGTTGCCATAAAGACATTGATAGTCATTCATAGGACATTAAGGGAGGGAGATCCTACCTTCAAAGAGGAGTTTCTATACTATTCTCGTAGAGGACATTTATTTCAAATCTCCAAGTTCAAGGATGATTCGAGCCCTCAAGGTAAATTGAAATTCGCACATGTTGCATTGTATTCTTTAGTCAATCATTCTTCTCCTTTCCTTGTTTACCAGGAAAGAGAAGATTTTTCAGAAGTCTCATTTTGATGTAGAATTGTTTTCTTAACATTCTGATAGCTCTGATGCAGCTTGGGATTGCTCTGCTTGGATCCGAACATATGCACTCTTTTTGGAGGAAAAGCTCGAATGTTTTAGGACCTTAAAATATGACATAGAGTCGGAACAATTGATCAAAACAGCTGCTGGAATATCTAAGGTGTGGTCTCTTGCACACAATTCAAATGCTTTTTTCTCCAATTAGATTATATATAATAGTTAAGAGTAGATATAAAGTGGTTTTTGTTGCATCAGATACGTAGTCGAACGCGGATCTTGAATGCTGAACACCTGTTGGAGATGTTACCTTCATTGCAGCAGCTTCTCTACCGCCTAGTTAGTTGCCAGGTAATGGTGGATAGTGTTGGCGTATTAGAACCCTGAAAGCCAGATACGGTGCAGAAGCATAAATAATTTTCTTTTTACGCCTTTCAATCCAGTAACCAGAAACCAAGGGCATAGTGCTTTTTAACACGTAATAAAACAAACAAATAAGTCTTCCTTTCTTCGAATCGCATGGCTGGTATCTGGCTTTTGATCCTTGGGGTTTATCTTTCCGAGTATCATTCAAGGACAACTACGAAGGTGTGTAGGCACCTTTCTTTTACAGTAATAGACTCAATATGGGGATATAGAAAAGGTGAAGTGTGTGTTGCCTTTTAATAGTGGATAGTTAGTTCCCTACTAACTCGGTTACTTAGGTACTATGATGCCTCTTTGAACCTTGGCCTGCAGTTCTTGCTCTATTTGATCAGTCATTTTTGCGTTATCTGTATAAGCTATCTAATCTATCAGAAATCTTGCAGCCCCATGGAGCAGCTTGCTACAACTATCTCATCCAGTATGCCTTGGCCCTGGTATGCATAAGATCCGTCAAGGAATGTTTATTATGCAATACTAGATTGTACTGAGCAGAGCGACTGACATGATTTTAGCCTTTTCTTTTCTTTCTTAATATTATCTAGTACCGTGCAATTCACCATACCGAACAAGTCATCAGTGTTTTACGTATGGCAAAAGTTCTTTATTTAATGCATGACCCCATGAGCATAGATGAGAAACTAATAGATTGTTACATTATTTTTCTAGATGTAAGTTTTGAAACCAATTACTATATTTAAACAAGTGTTCATTCTTTTGGGAAACACTACCAACCTTGTTTTCTAAATTACAATTGAGTGATATAAAATTGTGATCATATAGGTATTGAAAGAAAGCTTCAAAATATATTGTGCGATCAACGACGGGATCATTAATCTTGTCGACATGGTATTTTCCCTCATGGAATTTTGATACTATTTTCCCTGCATTGAGAAACTATCTCAAGATGATTAATTTTTTGTAGTATTTTGATATGGCCAAACATGATGCTGTCAAAGCTCTCAATATTTACAAAACAGCAGCTAAACAGGTAGATTCCTTCGCTTCATGTCAGGATCTCTTATTTCAACATGTAAATTAATGTACATGACAAGTATTCGATAGACAAGATTGCTGATCTTTATATTCATTTTGTCTTTTTCACTTGTTTCTATAGGCAGAACATCTAGCTGATTTTTATGACTTCTGCAGAACTTTGGACCTTGCTCGTACCTTTCAATTCCCTATCTTGAGACAGGTTATTTTTATTGTATAATTAAAAGTCAGTAAGAAATATTTGTTGTCTAATGACAGATTTTGAGTGTAATTTTCTGCAATCCACAGGCGCCTCCCTCATTTCTCACAACTATGGAGGAATATGTAAGGGAAGCACCTCAGACAGGTGCAATGTCAAGTAAGAGACTGGTGCGAAGCTCACCTAACTCACTTTAGGAAGTTTTTAGAACATAAGATTTTCGAGTTTTATCATCTTCCACAACAGTGACAAACTAAGCTTTGTCGGCTACATGAATCCTTTTTCATCTTTATTGTTTCCTACCATTAATAAATCTATTCTTGATCATAACAATCATCATCATCTTGCATCGCTTAACTAAATGTACATGCAAATTTTTATGCTTCTCAAATAAGGTGCTTTTAAGCTTTGCCAAACATGCTATTAGTCAAGGATTAATAACAATTTGCATGAAATTTGTTATTGTTAATAATAGGAGTATGAAGAGTATCCAAAGCCTGAAGAAGAGACTCAGAAACCTGAAGCATCAACCCCCGAAGAAAGCGAAAATCTAGTTGCAGAAGTTGAAAGTGAAGAAGAGCAGGTTGATGCACGAGAGGCGTCTCAGACTGAATATGAAGAGGAAAATAGACCACAAATATCAGCTGAAGAGCCTGTTGATCTTCTGGTAACCTTTCTCTTTTTGCATTTTCTTTTTCGGTTATAAGGATCGACTAAGGTAGTTTCTAAATTTTGTATACTAAACATAAATTTTCTCAGGGTCTGAATGAAGTAAATCCGAAAGCCCTTGAATTAGAGGAAAGCAACGCATTGGCTCTTGCCATTGTTCAACCCGGTGAGTTTTGTTGCATAACTGAATACTTTTGAATTGACTAGTCCAAGATTCATAAGAAGCACATCCAAGACGGTGTCATACATTTATTAAACGATTATGAACTGTAAAGGACTCAAATAAAATCACCTTTCATGATGGTTGAATACACCATTTAGTGAACCACCTCATCCAAAACCTTCAGTTTCATCGAGGGAACACATTAATCTATTTAGGTTTAGTCTTCAACACGCCCCTAACATTCATGCCATATTCATTTTTTCATTAAAGAAATGCACAATTTCCATCAATGGGTAGCCATGATATTTGAACTCAAGACCATGTTGAATCGTCCCATCTAAAAGCTTAAACTATTATATTTGAGATGTTTATTTATTTAAATTTAGTATTCAACAATATTTTCCTTTCAAGGACAAGAATATCTGATAATCAAATAACATACTGCACTTTATCTTTCCTTGCTGAATGAATTAATTAATCTTGAAGTACGATCGGGATTATATGAGACAATTGTTATTGATTTCGTTGCCTAGTTGTTTGTTCATGCATATTTCTGAAAATGTAAAATTGTTGTCTGAAATACTTTTGTAGGCAATGAAGGACTTTCAATGCATAATGCATGGAGTGAAATTGGAAAAACTTCAGGATGGGAGTTGGCACTAGTTACTGCACCCAGCAACAATAAAAGCCAGGTGGCAGATACCAAAATGGTTTGTTCTCTTATCTTCAATTTACTTCTGTATGAAGGCCGTGATTCCTTTTTTTTTTTCACCAGAGGTAACTAAAACTAGTATTCTTCCAAATAACCAAAGTTTGGTCCTTGTCAAGATTGGATAGAGTTCTATTTTGCATTGACATCATTTTGAGGTTGCCTTGCGCTTCCTATGTGTTATGTGATATGCTGACTTCTTTTGTTAACAATTTTGCCATGGAATAATACCGGCATTCATTCACTTTACTGGATTCGGTTTATGGACTGGCATTAGAAAGGTTGACAAATTTTAAAACATCCTTCTCTTCCTCAGTCTCGTCCAGCACAGTTTAGTCCAACACAATAGACACGCCCTTGGAGTTTTTTGCTAAGATGTTCATCATAAGATCAGTACTTCTGCGTGATAGTTCTAAACCATTTTGTCACCTGTATTAGGCTGGGGGGTTCGACAAGCTATTGCTCGATAGCTTATATGAAGATGATTCTGCCCGGAAACAATTACAGCTGCAGAATGCAGGCTACAATACCAGCTATGGACACGAAATGGCCGTACCAAATCCATTGGATCAACAAGACCCCTTCACCATGTCGAATAACTTTGAGCCACCAATAAATGTGCAGATGGCATATTTGTCCCAACAACAGCAAATGATGATGCAACAGCAGAATCAAACGATGATGCAGCAGCAAAATATGATGGTACCATATCAACATACAACTCAATATTCTCAATCACAAATGCCACAAATGGCATCCTCAAACCCGTTTGGAGATCCCTTCGTCTATCCACAGAGTGCTATGCCACCACAGGGAAACCATACATTACTTTAGAGGTCGAATTTCCCCTTCTATTCATACTTATTTTTCAATTTTTCAGTGAGAAGTTAGATATTGTAGCTTTTGCACTAGTCGGTAAGCACATTGTAACGATTACTTTTGAATTCCACATCAATTGTGGATGGCCTGCCTTGTGGGCTAGGCTAATAAGCATATTGGGTTCGCTCCCGCTTAGGAGTCCGTTATAAGAGCGAGTTATATCCAAGTTCGTGTAACACATTCCTTGCCTTTTCTTTTTTTACTTGGTTCAATTTAATTCGAGAGAAAAACAGACAAGGTTACATTACCGACTGTTTCTAATCAAAATAGACTAATATTGTTTTTGAATCCTCTTGCTTCATCTCCGCAGCTGCACATTTGGGACGGAAGACATGACCGATGACATTAATAAAGTCTATGGAACAAAGTCTTCAAATTTGAATTTGAGAGTCTCGATTCAAAATATCCCGTCATTTTTTTACCAACATTTTCATGTCGAAATTAACTTCCAATTCGATGAAACTCTATGCCTTTGATCCCTATGTTAAGAGAGAGTGATATCCAAGAAAAGGCTTTTTCTTCTCGTAAAAATTTACCAGGCATATTTGCCATGCAGTGCGGGGCCTGGACACGTCTAGATATTATCTTCATCTCTAAGACAGTGCGCCCATCTGGGCAGTAGAGCACCACTTTAACTTCCTCGAGATTGACTTTCTCTGGATGGTAATACGGTTTTGCTGAACGAAGTTATATACTGGTGGATTCGGTCTGTATATTTTTTTGAAGAACATATTCCGAAACAAGAATACATCAGAATCAAGTATATATTTTTTCCCTACAAAAATGTCCGTTAATTTACTATTAAGTGGTTTTTCATTTCTAATTCTTTGACTGCATTGGTCATAAGGAGTAATGTTGGATGTATTACGGAATTTTTATCCTCATGTGGGACAATTTCAAGGAGTTACAAGGGAAAAGGAAGAGATGCAGTGTTGTTGTGGTGTAATGTAAGTGTACGATGGCAATTAAATAAGGAGTAAAGTGAAGAACGTATATATTGCTTCGTTTATACCTTAATTCCAATCTTGTTAAACGTATATATCACTTCGTTTAGACCCAAATATACGAAATTAACCAACAAAAAGCAATACATCACTTATTTATTGTTTCTAGATGATTAAGATTAAATACAATTTGAACACTAAATTAAACAATCACAAAAGTATACATGAAAAGCATAAAAAGTAAAAAAATACCAGAAATTGATGACGTAGGAAAGCGTTTTAAGAACTCTTCACAAGGATTAAAAACTTTTAGGCAAACCTTGCCAAAAAGATCCACCAGAAAAGTTAACTTACAATTGGTTTAGATATTGCTAAACCTTAGTCGAATTTGACCATTTAACTTGTAAATTAGTGAAAAATCTCTTCGATTGTGTGATTCGCACTTTCGAGCAACTCTTAACTACTTTTCTCTCCACACGGATCAACAAGAACAAACTCGTTTCAAAACACTGGAACTTCAAGTGCCTATTCTCCAACGTCAAACCTCTCCAGGCTTATAAGTGAAGGTAAGGATTTTTGGTGTTAGATATTTAAATCTTTTGTGTTTGATATTTGGTTGAAGCAAGAGATTATGAAATATGTAATTGATATCTGAAGATATTCTCTTGTATAAAACAAAGGCTCAACCAATGGCAAAATAATGTTTGGGATGAATTATGAAGAATTAATCTTGTGATTGAATCAAGAGATCTTTGAAATGTGATTTGGATCTTCAATAATATAATCTTTAATATGAAATAATGATTCAACACGCTTCTGGACAGACATATGCTTGGGTATATATAATAGGTAGTGTTTGAGGTTGAATATGATTGAAAAATCAGCTTAAAATCGCGAACTAGGATTTTTCGAATGTAGCCACCGCTCTCGCACTGCTCTCGCACCTAGCGAGCGGTGACTCTGTCGTTCGAGCGCCAAGATCGCGCTTAGTGAGTGTTGTGCCCTTGCTTTAGCCCTCGTGCGCCAATTTGGTGTGCAGTGAGCGGTAATACACTGACTTTTTCTCCCTGGTCGATATTTGACATCTTTGACTCCTTCATGATCTATACTACCAATCCTTGACTATTTTGATTTCATGTACAACTCAATAACTCATGATTTTGAACACAGAGATTTCAAATTACAATTTTGAATATAACAAATCTAAAGCTTTCGAATTATCGTTCTCACGAATATTATCTTTTTAAAGATAAATATAACTATTCCTAACTCCAACTTCATAAAAACAAACATTCATGTCAAGATATTTGATTAAACTAATATTAACTAAAGAAAATAAAAGCAAGGAAATGTAAGTTTTTGTTAATATGATGGTTAAAGCGTTATCACTCATGATTTCACCTTAATTGTAACTCTTTAATTTTTTTCCTCAAATTCAATTCCTAAAGTTGTACTCGGTTGAATTCACTAATTAAATCAATTTACTTGTCTTGAGTTCAAATCAATCCCATCTACCTTAGTAAATTGACAATATCTATGCAAATTTGAATACGCCTCAATAGACACATTAAATTATCTAGGTATTAAATTAAAGACCGCAACAAACAATAATAAATTAAAAGAAGGAAAATAGTGGCCAATTATTCCAAGCATTATAAAAGAAGGAAAATAATTACATGAAACAATTAACTTCAAGAATCTCGATAATTGAAATTAATGATTCAAATCTAGGTTACATCATTCGTTCCAACTATTCATTTAGTTGCACATCATCATGGAAGAAAAAGGCCAAAGGATTTTAGAGTTCATCACTGAGTTTTAAGGAAAAAGAGAAAAAATATGATATTCTGGTACCTCGAATTCAAATTTTTACACCAAATTCTACAAATCTAAGGGGCTGTTCTCTTTGGGAGTTTTGGGTCGTTTTCTGTTTTCGATTTTTCAAAACAGTAAAAACGCGTTCTCTTTGTCATTTTCGAAAACAGATTTTGGAAAACAAAAAAAAAAAAGTGAAGAAAATGCAAAACGACTGGGCGTTTTCTTCATAAACAGATCAGCCAACGGAAAAAACGGGAAACAGCCCTGTTTTCCCAAAACGTCTCCTCCCTCCTTTCTGCCAAGCCATCTCCACCGCCACCTTCTAACCATCTAAACTCCAGCCAACCTCCTCCAAAACGGTTAGATTTATATACCATTGTGAAGCCCTCAATCCCCTCTTCAATCACTACACAAACTACAATCCAATCATGTACCAAAATCGATCAAAAATATCCTCAAAAACAGATTCGGCACAAAAAGCTTCTACCAGAATCAACACCCAAGGTCGCACTTCAATTCCTCATTCCCACAACATTGAATCATCAAATTGGCCCTAATCAAGTCTTCAGTAGGCACATGGGACAATGGGTTACATGTCAATTGCACCAATTAATTCAGAACAATGCTCCAAATTTCTTTCCACCAATCCACCGCCACCTTCCCCTCGCCTCCATTTCCCAGTCGTCCCCTTCTCCTCACCTCCACACACGTTGCGGCAGAAGGAATCTACACCGGTCAGTTCATTTACTGTGTGAAGAAGGCCAAGCTTGTGGTCGGAAAAGGAGAGAGACGGACGGGAGGAAGAGATAGGGATGGAGAGAGAGAGAATGGAAGAAAACGTGTTTAGATGAGAACACCTTTTCAATTTTGAGTTTTTCAAAACAATTTTTCAAAATGGCAAAATGAACACATTTTCAACCATCTCAAAATGGACACTCAAAACACAAAATATAAAATAAATTCAAAACTCAAAACACAAAACTGAAATACAAAGAGAACAACCCCTAAGTTTTTCTTACTCTTCTCCCTTGTATCTTCTCATTTTTTCTCATGCGTAACCTCCATTTTGACCTAAATTAGGTCTTTATAAGTGCTAGACCCATCTTCAAAGTCATGCCTCGAAAAGGACCAAAACATCCAGAACTTAATAAGATACTGACTGGCCACAGTTAGAGCTGTAGATGGATCATATATAGACTGAATCTATCCATATTTGATCCGATCCGATAATCCAACAGATATATGATTATTAAATTCATATTCAATTTTTTTTTGTCGTATAACCGATCTGTTAATCCGATACGAAATATTTTAGAAATAGTGGATTCTCAATCTCAATACAAAATTTATTAAATATATATTAATATTATATTGGAACTTGACATGTTTGACCTTCTTTATTAAAAGTCATAAAATATAATACAAGTTTCAAAATGGAAAAAAAAAAAAAAAACTTGTGTAAAATGCAGTAATATATAAAATATATTATATTCTTGTAACAAATTGGATCGAATTTTTATCTGATCGGATTGACCTATATCCATATTTGCTCCATTCAATTAATGAATTATTGGACCCCTTCGAGGGTGGTCGAGTTGGTGAAACAGGTGAACACGGAGATCAAATGTCACGAGTTCAAATCCACTGTCAACACTTCCTCGGTCGGGCCCTTCGCACTGGGCTTTCCTAGTGCAATTTACCTCTCCTGTGTGGTTTGCGGGCTACTGCACAAGGAACGAGATTTACATAGTGCAAACTTACAGTGGTCGGGCATTCGCCCCTTAGGGTTGGTCGGGACTTCGCTGGCGAGTAGCGGCTGAGGGTTCCTACGTCAACAAAAAAATAATAAATTATTGGATTTGAATTTTGATCGAGTCATCGGATTGAGACTCTAAATCTATCTCCCATTAATTTCAACGAATTCGGATCAAATTCCAATCTATTGATAGCCATAGCCACAACTGGCCGCCACAAAATTATTTTATTTTAGTTTTTGTACTATGGTCTAACCACGGCAAACAAGCCCTTCATGTGCTCGTAGGTGGACCACTGTCACCCATGCAACTTCTAGAATTTTGCATTTTGGTCTCTATGTCAATTTTTTCGTACAACCTTAGTCATTTTTGTCCAAATCTTTAATGTTGATCCCCGTAACTGCCAAAAGTGTTGATATTAGTCGTCGAACCTCCATAATCATCAAAGATTGGTTCTCCTCAGTTTCAAAAGTATGAAAATCAATCCCCAAATTTTTCATAAGCAAAATTTCACTTCTAAGACTTGTGACTTTCGTTTAGTCGCTTTCTTAATGCATCTTATTAATCTCGTGCAATCCGACTAATTTTCAATTATTTAGAATCATTTTTTTTTTGCTTCAAGTGCCTCCAAATTTATGTTTTACTTGTGATGACAATATTTATACTAAATTAAGCTCAAATTTACAAATATATAAAGAGTTTCTAACTATATAAATTAATTCATATTCGAAAACAAAGTAGTATTTTTTCAGTTTCATACCAACTTTAAATCTATAAATTTACACGATCATATTCGAAATAATTAGGGTGATAGAGTTTCAAAAGAGAACATAATATAGTAGACAATTGGAAACACATTTATATTTGATCCTCTTTAAATGAATAAAACAAAATAAAATAATAAGATAAGAAAAATTTGCAAATAAAATCTCATAACTTTTCAAAAGTAAAATAATTAAATACATATTGACATATAAAAAAAATTTAAAAAAATTCATCTTCCCGCCTACTCATCAATGCCACCACAGCCAAACACCACCTCCACAAATACAAATCACCGCACGTGGTTATTTTCCATCTAAACTGCTGATTTTTTATCCAATCATTTATATTTTTTTTTTCTAAGATGGTTGTGGTAATATTGCCTCTCCACAAGCAATATATGTCAATATATAAAAATAATAATTTTTTATATCCATTTAACTTTTAAGTATATTCACACTTCAGCCTTAATATATATATATATTTTTTTACATATAATGTAAACATTTAATTTTGATTAAAAAAAAAGAGAGAAAAACATAAATGATAATTATATAATAAATAATTATAAAAAAAATTTACTTATTAGTCATTATCCATTTTAGCCCCCGTTTGGGCCACCTTATTTTCTCATTAAAATGAAAAAATATGACCGTTATCCATCACATCAAAATTTAAATTCAAATTTTATATCTCTTGTATGGGCCCCAATAACAATTATATTTTGTGGAAATTACACAATTCCCTACTTTTTAAAATCTATATTCTAAAATCAGATTTGAACTTTTAATTTTCAAAAATCAGATATTTTGTAATTAGATACATTATATAATATAATTAGATATTTTATTTAATTATTAAATATTAATTGTACAATTTTCATTCAAACCCTAATCAATTTCATCCCAATTTTCTCTCACTTCTCTCCATCACTCTCTCCACCTTATTCTCCCCATCGCTCTCTCTTCCATTCTCCACTCTCCGCCGCTCTCTGTCTCTCTCTTTCTCTTCTCTTCTCTTTCGATCCCCCTCTCTCTTCTCTGACCCATTGTGGCAGCCAGACGATCTACGAAGCACCGTGGTGGCGAAGCACCTACTGTGGTGGCAAACCACCAACGATTTGTGAAAGCATCATGGTGGCAAATCACCTGAAGATCGCCACGGTGTTCGACGATCTGCTAACCAGATCCAGTGGCGATCTGCAAAGCACCGTGGCGATCTTCGTGAATCTAGTATCAGACTCTCTCGCTGGTTGTGTTGGGGGATGGTGTGATGGCGGTGGTGGACTGTTGCAGTGTGTGCTGGAGGTGCTGGTATATGGTAGTGGTGAATTTGTGCAGTGTGGTGCGGCGTGGGGTTGGTGGTGAAATCGGAGAGATGATCGAATCGAAGAATCCTCAGACCACTTCCAAAACATGTCTCTCCTTATGGCCTTCATGTCTTGTGGTGGTGGGGATGATTTTGTTTGTGGTAGGCGACTTTAATTTTTGGGTGATGGTTTGGTTGGTGTTTGTGCGACTACTGTGGGTTTGCTAGGTTTGGTAGTGGTAATAGTGATAGAAATGGTGGTTGTCGTGACGATTGTTGTGGTAGTGGCTATGGTCGGGAGTTGAATGAAATGGGGTTTTCCAGTTTGAGGTGGTGGTGGCGACGACGGTTTGACGGTGAGGTGGTGCTGGCTTGCAGGCAGTTGAGGATGTTTATTTTTTTATGGTGGTGGTGCGATGCAGGGAATGGTCTGACGGTGCGGTGCGGGCATCAGTTGTTTGAATCAGTGTAAACGGATATGGAGGAGATGGTGGTGGTGGTAGTGTATGTTGCGGGTTTGGTGGTGATTTGTGACTAAGATCGGTGGTGGATCGGAATCGGTAGTGGGACTGTGATTAAAAATTAACACGTGACTAATAAATTTGAAATATGTGATTAATAGATAAAAATTATCATGTTATCAATCATTATAAACAAACAATCATGCGTTGTGACTTGTGACCTGGCCTGTGACTTAATTTATGACTTGTGACTTGGCCTGTGACTTGATTTGTGACTTGTGACTTGGGTTGTGACTCTTGACTTGTGACTTGTGACCTGAGTTGTGACATGAGCTGTGACTTGTGACCTGGATTGTGATTGTAAAAAAAAAACATGTTAACCGTACAAAAAAATATAGCGGAGCAGTCGCCGGAAAAAATCGACGCTGGAACGGGCGCCGAAATCGGAGTAGTCGCCGGAACGATCGTCGGAAAGTTCGCTGGAGTAGGGCGGTGATCGGAATGGTCGCCGGAGACGTAGGGGTTGTGAAGGTGGAATGGGTTAATTTAATCATATTATATTATAATTAAATATTTAATAATTTATTATTTCATAAAAAATTTTTTTTTAAAAAATCTGATTTTGATAACTTTAAACTTTTGTTCTTATTTTTGAAATAGAATAAACTTATACTCTTGAATATGTAATATTCCCTTATATTTTTCATTTTTATTTTACAATAAGGTCCGGAATTAAATATATTAATATGGGGGACAAAAATAAATAATTTATATAATTATCCCCTTGCTACATGCCACGTGTAGTACTACACAAATGGTAATTTTCACACTTTAAAACCGCTCCCGCTGAAGCCCCATGCAATATTTTTCCCTATATACACAACCCCCATCTCATCTAAATCCACAACTCTTATTTCACTTTTCCCTTGAAAAGAGAATTCTGTAGAAGGTGACATCACTTGCCAGGAATCTGTAGTCATTTGTGAAGTTTTGACAAGAAATATGGCCGCCGTGTCGGAGATCCCTGTCGTGTTCTTAGACCGCGGAGAGGAGAAGAATTACGGAAACATATCAATATCCGCGGCACTGGATTACAATCTATTCGTGTCGACCGTGAGTGGGATGATCGGCTTATTGCCAAATCAAAAAGTATCCATTTACAAAATGAAGAACCCGTTTACTCCGGCGACAGGTCCAGAGTTGGAGCTCGTCGATGATAAGATCGACTTCGGGTTACTTTGTAGTCAGAAGAACATAATTTTCCAAGTGGTTTTGGGAAGATCGGATTCAGAAATGTCAAGAAACTCACCGGAGAGGACCCATGGAGTTGAGGGTAGTAATAACTTGGAGAATAATATGTCCGCGGAGGTCCCTGTCGTGTTCTTTGACGGAAAAGAGAAGAAGAGTCTCGGAAACATATCAATATCTCCGGCACTGGATTACAAGCTATTCATGTCAACAGTGGGTCAGATTATTGGCATATTGCCAAATCAAGAAATATCCATTTACCACACAAAGAACCCGTATGTTCCGGAGACGTGTCCAGATTTGACCCCCGTCGATGAGAAGATCGACTTCGGGTTACTTTGTAGTCAGAAGGATATCACCTTTGAAGTGGTTTTGGAAAGATCAGATTCGAAAATGTCAAGAGACTCACAGGAGAGGAGCCATGGAGACGAGGGTAGTAATATCTTGGAGAATAATATGGCGGTGGAAATCCCTGTCGTGGTCTTTGACGGAGATGATGAGAATAATTTCGGAAACATATCAATATCTCCGGCAACGGATTACAAGCTGTTCGTGTCGACGGTGGGTCATTTTATCGGCACATTGCCAAATCAAAAAATAACCATTTACCACACAAAGCACCCGTATGCTCGGGCGACGGGTCCAGAGTTGAACCCCGTCGAAGAGAAAACCGACTTCGGATTACTTTGTAGTCAGAAGGACATAGTCTTCCTAGTGGTTTTGGGAAGATCGGGTTCGGAAATGTCAAGAAACCCATCAGAGAGGACCCCTTCACCACAACCGGTCCCCACGTCTGAGAACTTGGAACCTACCCATCGCAATGAACCGGCGGCGGTGGATAAAGAAGCTGTTTCCAGTACTTGAGGGATCAGGATGAGATTTATCGGGCGGCAATGGCCTTGAACGCGATTGTAGATTCGGGTCAATGTGATAACCCGAATTCCAATTTGAATAATTGTAGCAAGTTGATGTGATATGACATGTTTTGTTCAATGGTGAAGAAATGTACACGATCGTTAGCAAAATTGAAGATTGACTATGTTGCTATACATTTGCCTGTATCCAAGTCATTTTCTGCTACTCTTACGTCAACTCCGTTTACATATTTCTCATTTATGAAGAGAAAATTACAGGTGGAATCTATTCATACAAAATGTAGCATGTAAATCTTCGACTTTTGAGTTCTATAAATACATTCAATTTCGTAGTAAGTGAGTCTCTACATTTGTTGTGTGAAATGTTTTGTTCAAGAAATACTTTTGAAGAAATATATTTGATTGTAGCAAATCGAAGATTGAGTTTTGTTGGAAGTTTGAATCTATGTTACATAAATTCGTGAATTTAGGATCCATTTATCGAAAATAATAGTAGTCTAAAATTCTAAAAATAAAGAGTTTATTAAAGAATAGAAATCGCGAGAATTGAAGAACATTATAAATAAAGAGTCTAAAAATAAATTTACTATTTTTAGGCTTTAAGCTAACATGTTCAGATGTATATGAATATAGGAAACAAAGATGGAAGTAAGAAATATAAAATATATCTATGAGTATTATCTATTTGTGTCAAAAGGAAACAAATTTACCCTTCGAAACCGCGTGCCTCCATCTCCGCCCTCCCTGCCATCTCTCAAAGATTTGTTGGGTCATCGTTATTCACAACACGTAATGAGAATTGGCTAGAAAATTGTTCAACTAACTAGAACTACTAGACACTAACTTAGCATAATGATAACGTATTATGCAGTTAGTTACTTTTTTCTCTTTGGTGACGATGGAAGCAAGACAATAAGCAAAGCCTAGATAGTGTCGAATGTATAGATTGGGAGTGTAGAAAAAGAACATGTCGAGAAGGAATTGGACATGAGGCCCCGAGAGAAGGTGAAGGGAGATTTTTTATTTTTATTTTTTAGTTTTAATTAAAGATGAAGGTAAAATATCCAAATATATTACTCTTTAGTATGTTGGTAGACGAGAACTATTCATGAAGGACTCAATTGCTATAAAACTTAAAAATAAAGTGTAATAACACAAATTAATATTAAACGGTACCCTCAAATGCAATTTTAGGAATTTAAAAACTGTCCCAACCACCTTTCCTCCCGCTTAATTTTACTGTATAACCCAGCTCTTCTATATCCCACAGATCTCTTCCACTCACTAGATCTATTTCACTTTTTTACATTACAAGAAAATCTAATCCTTGAGAAGCTGAAATCAGTTGCCTGGAATCTAACGTCATTATGGAAGCTTTTGCAAGAAAGATGGAAATGGAAGGATGGGAGCGGCCGGAGGCCCGTCTCGTCTTCTTCAACGGAGTGAAGGAGATTAATTGCGAGAATGTCCCAGTCTACCCGATGATGGAATACACGGAATTCGCGTCAAACGTGAGTCGCATTATCAGCTTTCCGCAGAATCATTTATCCATCTACCTGGTAAAGAACCCGGATTCTGGGGAACCGGAGGGTCCAGAGATTACCCTCGTCACCACCGAGAGTATTAATTTGGCTTTATGTTGTTCTAAGGAGGACATCATCCTAGTGGTTTTGAATGAATCGAAAATGTCAAGAAGCGCATTTGAGTGGACTGGTTTTAACGAGGACTTGGTAAATAGCCAGCGCAAAGAACCGGAGCCACGCTCGTTTTCGGAGGTTGTGAAATCTCCGCCGCAGAAGTTAAGGGTTCCGACGAAGGATAATCAGGCAATAACGGGAAGACCAATCTTGAACCTGGATTCAAATGAAAGTAAGAACAGTGAAGTCCCGACAGCCCGGCCAATAGATGACCCGGCGGTAAGTGCGTGGATTAGGTTCCGCAAATCCGCCAAGAAATAACCTGGTAAGGATTTGAATCAGAACTTTTGCTATGAAACATTTTGCTGAATGAAGCTGGGTTTTCTATGACCCTCGAATTTGAGAACGTACACTAGATAATACTCAATGGTAGTAAGATAGAAAAAAAATTACGAATCTGCAATGTAATATTGTATAGATTCATTTTTCAATTAGGTATATGAATTGGTCCATTGTTACTTTGTGGCACTCTCCAAGTTGTGTGGAGAATAGATTTTAGACATCAAATGTGTATCTTGATATGCTAATCGTTGTCACTCTCTCTTTGAATCAATTCTTGGTTTTAATCTCTTCAAAGTTCAAAACGACCTTTTATGTGAAAAATTGTAAATAGTCTTCGATGAAATCTTCTTTATCTTATCTTGTAAAAAATTTAATATGCACATATTTCAAAACCTAGTCGAGAGAGGATTATCAATTCAACAGTGAGACCTAATCAACCGAATCTCAACTTTTTGGATCAATGTTAGTCTAGCATGCAACAAACTATGATGGTCTATGGACTTTACTTAGACAACAAAAATATGATTAAAAAACGTTGAGATCTAACGCTACCGTGCCACATTCTACTGTGTTTTATACACACACAAGTAAATAGGAGCACCAGAAAACAATAATAAAAAGATTTTTAAGTCAAACACCACTTTTATTTTTATAAGATAGAGAGTCGAATTCACTTTTTATTTTTACATTATAATGATATAATCGACTTTGAAGCATCAATATCACACTCAAGCTAAAATTCTGCTAGCTTTGAATTTAATAATCTACAATTTTTATTTCTCTCCAACTTCGAGCTCCTTCTACTCTGAACTACCGTGTGTCTATTTGCAGCTTTTCACGATCAAAGTCAACTGTTTGTCAGTGGCAATATAGGCATGCGTTATATTTGAGTTAATTGGCCCTTGTTTGACAACTATTATTTCCAAACTCTTTTTTTCTTCATACTCGTTTTCAATCACGAATTTAAACGATAAAATATTATGCAGATAAACCCAAAATTTTTTCTTACTTTTTAACTACATATTTTCCTAAAAATAATTATTCAAAACTCTATTTTTCTCAAATAATGATTGTCAAATAGGAGCTGAATATGACATCCCCTTTGAGTCCCATTTTTTTTTTGTTAAAATGCATTTTGAAATAGTATTTTGTTGGAGAATGTGTAGTTGAAAAATAAGGAAATATGTTTGCCTGTAATATTATTTTATTGAAAAATGTGTAATTAAAAATAAAAGAGACAAAAATATATTTTGAAATGAGCATATTAATTGAAATGAAAATGAGAAAAATAATAATAATTTCGAATACATGTGTATATTCGATCATATACTCTAAGTCTAGGAACTCCACAAAAAATAGTTGACTTTAATACAAGCATATCCACCAACTATCTGATGTCCCGTGAGTTAATAGGAAATGTTATTTTTAAACTTTACACAACAAATGCGTTGAATCAAATTCTTATTTAGCAGAAGAAATTCAATATTAAGATGAAAATCTCATCTTTCTTTATTATTAAAGAGCTAATGAATGAATGAATGAAATCAATACAAATGGAGATATTGTCAATCGTCGGAGTTTGTTGGTAATCGAGGGGAAGATAGTAGTTGCAATGGACCGAGCCGACTATGCCCACGAGCTCGGCTCGTGGCTCATTACTCACGGATCGAGCTCGGCTCGACCAATGAGCTCGTGGTTCGTGGGTCGGTTCGCGAGCCTGTTAATTTTTTTTTTTTTTTTAGATGTACATTTTTTCTGAAAAAATAAAAAAATAACCCTTCACAAAGACGAGCCCATGAGTCGCTCGCCTAGTGAGTTGGCTCGCTCGGCTCGTGCTTGGGCTCCTCATTTGACGAGCCCGAGCAATCCACGAGCCGAGTTTTGACGAGCCAAGTCAACGAGCCGCTCAGTCTGTTTGCTACCACTAGGAGAAGAGATGAATAGGGTTTGCTCAACAACGACAAGTTCAGATTTTTAGATTTTCTCAAATATACACATAGATATACATGAGAAAATGAACATATGGAAGATATACATACTCGTTTTCAATCACAAATTTAACAATAAAATATTTTGTGGGTAAATCCAAAATTTTTCCTACTTTTTAATCACACATTCTCCTAAAAATAATTATTCGAAATTCTATTTTTCCCAAATAATAATTGTCAAAGAGGGGTTGAATATGACATCTAAAACAATATATATATTAATTGAAATAAAAATGAGAAAAACAATGCATAATTTTTGAAAAAATAAAATGAAATTGACACTCTTTAAATTTAGTTATACTCTGTCATACATAATATGCTATTTATAAATTGAGTATTATGGAGATGCTCTAAATTCTCCATTGATTCCATCCAACTCCAATTAAGTTTCAAATTGACCTTTTTTCACACCAATTGTATCTAAGTTCAAGTTTTTTTTCCCTACCGTTAATATAATTTACATAAATTTGTATGTAATCGCTCAATTTACATATAATTTATTTAATGATAATAGAAATCATGATAAATGCATAATCTTTCAAATAACATGTGAAATGCATATCCGACCTGAATTATAGGAGCAGCAATGCAGCTGGCCTTACAAAGGGGTGGTTTTGCTGCGGATATTCATCCATGGTTTCTCTGCACGCCTCTCAATGTGTCCTAAAATTAGACCAAGCCAATGAAAAATTGTTGACCTTTAATTCTTGCACACCAAGTGTTTGATTCAATGCTCTCATTGTTCATTTTCACTTCTTTGGCTATAGCCATCCTCTTTATCCTTTTTCTTTATCTAATATAAAACAAGATCAGCCAATTTATATCTGGTTTTGATTATCATGATATATTCATATTTGTTTCTGTTCCCCCCCCCCCCCCCCCCNGAATTGCAGAAAGAGGAGGATGAAAACTGTGGCATCTCCATCAGATGATCAATCAAAGATTGTAATGGGGTACTCCCCAGATAGGTACCCTCAACCCCCTTATGGATACCCTCAACCAGATATTGGATATCATCATGATAAAGGTTATGCAAATTCTGTTAATCCAAATCCTCATCCCCAATCATTTGATGGATACTATTATCAGCAATCCTATGAGCCGTTGGTACCCGAACCGAGTAGGACTACTTCCATTGGTCGTGCAATGATCTACCTGTTGATTGTTTTAACTTTTGGAATGTGCCTGTTGAGCATAGTCATTTTTCTCCTGTTTGGTACAGACCAGCCAGATTTCCACATGGTGTCATTGACCGTGCCAACTTTTAATGTGACTAACTCGTCCCTAATAGCCAGCTGGTACGCCAACATTACTGTCACGAATCAAAACGAAGCTTTCAAAGTTCACTTTCAGCATGTTGTATCTTCAATCTTCTATGAAGAAGTTATGTTGGCAATCTCTCTTTTGAAGCCTTTTCAAGTAGAGACAAAGCAGACACGTAGTATGAGTTTCCGTGTGACAACAGATCCATCGAATCAGGAAAAATTGCATAACGGGGTGTTCCCAAATATTGTTCAGGATCGAAGCAATGGCATCGTAATTTTCAGCTTGAGACTGTCTTTGAAGGCCCAGTATAAGTCTAATACGCTTTGGAAAAAAGCAAGTTTGAAAGTTAACTGCAAAAATTTGCAAGTTCGCTTTTCACCAACTGGTGAAGGAAAATTGACCGAAGATTTTCCCAATCAATGCGTACTTTTTACGCGATAGCCTTGTAAGTGTGATGATCTATTACTATTCATGTTGTGGCATATATTGGATTTACAATCTGGGTTCTAGAGTCCATTCTTCTAGATATAAAAGATAATAACATAGTGCAGAATGAGTGTTCAGTTTTCGCTTTCCTTAATTCTTTTGAGGCATGTTTAGTATCTAGAACATGACTTCACGCGATTAAACTTTAAAGAACATATTCATGTCAAATAGATGTCTATTAAACTGTCCAATAATGTCTGGTCCCCATAGTAAATATACTCTTACCTAACCTATGTATGTTCTATTTTTGCAGGTCGGATGCCAAGAACTAGCTAAGAAACGCAAAAGTTTAAAGCACTGGAATCACAGAATACACTGTTTAATATGTGTTTTCAAATTGATCTATTCATATTACATTTCTCCTGTCATCATGCCTTCTCCAAGCTGTTATCGTCTATTGTCCTACAAATTTTTTGTATAATATCTTCACTCGAACTCATTCCTCCCTCCAAGTCTGTCTTTGTACAATGGATATTAATTATAATAGCTGTAGCAGCGTTTGGTCAGAAGACCATAACCATGCCCGAAGAGTGGCTTCTGATATTAGCAAGTTAACGTAGTCAAACCAACCTTTCTTGTACATATGTTCTCTAGCTTTATGTAAATGCGTGGATGTACCATGATGAGACCTCTTGAGGCAACAAACATCTCCCAAGAGGTGTACTCAATGACCTTAAGAGGTTTTAATGTAGGAGAAATGTTGGACAATTTCATTTTTTGCTAGAACAAATTCACAATCCATGCAAACAACTGATGAAATACCAAGAGACCAATAAAGAAAGAACACACCAAATTTACGTGGAAAAGCCGTAGAGGGGAAAAAACCATGAGACAACTCCAATCAAATCCACTTAAATAAAAATAGAGTTTATAATACTCGAGTTTATGCCCAAAACTTGAGTTCTCAACGAATTGGGAAATACAGCAATGATCAACCTCTAAGAGAACAATAATTTCACCCCAAACCTCTAATTTGATGAAACCTATGATGAATCCCTGCGTGAATCAACACCTAAAGATTGAAAGAGAAACATTTTTCCCTTCTCTCTCTCTCTCTCTCTCTCTCTCTCTCTCTCTCTCTCTCTCTCTTTCCAAAGCAGCAATCTCTGCTGGCTGCCACAATTTTCTGTTTTTCAGCCTAGGTCTTTTTTTTTTCCAACAGCCTCACTCACGTCTTTTTTATTATTAATATTAATATTAATATTATTATTATTATTAAAGTTGACCTACAAGACTTGTAGTGGATTGGGCCATTATTCCTCATGGGCTCATATAACAAGAAAGGGAAAAGGGAAGAATTTATGGGTCAGGTGTTTACTTTCACCAAATCACGAATCA